GAGAACATCTTACTGCTGCGAAAGCAATTGGTAGGTCGTGCCCGGAGGTGGGGCACGGCTGTACCTGCTGGCTGGGGGATGGAGGTCGGGCAGGTGGCCTTGGGTGGGCGCGAGGTTACTTTCGGCTGGAGAAATTCTCGCTGCTCTGGGACCCCTGCCCTCTGCCCCCTGAGCCCCTTCCCCTTGTGCCCGCGGCGCGTGGCACGCGTTTCTGGCGTGTGCCCGCTTTGTGTCTGGCGAGGGACTGGCGACCTCGCGCGGAGTGCGGGGAGGGGTGGCGGCCCTTCCCTCCTCTGCACTCGGGATTCTTGGAGTCGGCGGCTTCTCCCTAGTTGGACGAGTAAATGCCCTCTCGACAGAGGTCTGCAACCCCCCACTTAAAATGCTGTTTCCTTTGGATGTCTTTTTGGCTTCATCTCCTCCCGCCGAGAGGGGCCGAAAGGCAAGGAGGGGGCTGGTGGCGTGGTTAACTGTCCAACACCGAGTTTTGCAATTACACTGAAGCGGCCGCAAGGAGCCGTGCCTCTCCCCAGCACGGCAGCTTTCACAGGGCTGGTGAGCAATTTCAAATAGAAGCCCTTTGTATATAAGGCAGCTAAAACTAGATGCAAATGATGGAAATTTGGCTGGAGAGCGTGCCCCCTCCTCTCATATTTTTTTGCGTTCTGCCAGCTGTGATTGGTGGCGGAGGTAGGAGAGGGAGAGGACATGTTTGCAGGCAGCATTTATCTTATTGGATTTCTGTCAGCGTCTCAGTCATTCTATGCAGTCTTCATTAATGGGGAAGAAAAGGAACTTTGGAGCTTAATGTATTGATGAACAGCTTTTGACCCCGCCTCAGAATAATGGCGGCAGCTTTGTTTTCTGTGACCTCAAAATGTAGTTTTGGAAACAGCAAAGTGTCTTACCTGACCAAGTGATACTATCTAAACTAGACTCATGCTAGATAATGGCCTTCCTAAAATGAAGTAGTGATGCTGTGCGGTTGTCATGTTTTCTTCTTTATCTCTTCAGATCATTTCTTTTCTTTTCTTTTTTTTTTTTTGAGCAAAGTGCTTTGACTTGATAGATTCATTTTTCTTGGAGAAACTCATTCTAGCAAACAAGCATATGGCTTAGGTCTCCAAGCATTTAAAGTCACAAGACGGACAAGAGTAGATATTCCTATGCATCTGTTTGTAAGGATGTATGCTGTGGTTTGTGTAATACCTAAGTTTTGGCATTTTACTGTGTTTTTTGGGGAGTAGACCAGACCAGATTTGTATGTAGCACTGATGTGAGCCAGTTCTCACTGGTTATGCCTGATGAATAACATTTTATTTAGTCTTGTACAATAGCACCTTTCTGTCTGCATGAATTTCAAGATTGTAAGTGGTACATTCCTATTGTCTGCTTGAGGGGTGCAAGGCACTATGTCAAGAGAATTCCAGTCCAGTCAGTGTTTATGTCATTTGTAGACTTGGCATTCATGATTTGAACCAGATGCCTTTTGAGTCTTTTGCTTTTCCAGCAATAGGAAGCACTAGGTGGCGGTGTGAGTTAGCACAATCAATCTGTCACCTTTGGAAACCCAGCTGAGTTCAAATCTTGATGGGCTTTCCCTTGAGGGTTTTGGATTCTGCCAGCTCACATTATACTTGGCACTGGCTATTAGTATTAGTTTCTCACTTTCAAAGGCCCTAAGACTGATTAAACTCCACAAAGCAACTAAGAGAAAACAAAACTCTACAGGCTAAGATTTGGCCAGAAAAATCTCACCTAAGTAAGATTATAGCATATTATAGGAAATCTGTTACTCTGACTCGAAGTATTGTTTTTTAAAAAACTGGCTGTACATCAGATATTTTAAAATCTCAGTACTTTTTTCTTGTCCCTTCTGATAAAAAGTCACAGTATGCATATATTAGTTGAAACTAAAAACAAATCTTGTTTTTATGAAGAAACTTTATTTCTCCATTAAATATGAGAAACTAGAATTAAACAAGATTTATCTTTGAATTCTCGAAGTTTTTATTTCAGGTCATTCAGTAAAATTTTGATTTTGGAAGTTTTAGTAAACTCATTCATATGGGGGTCATTTGACTCCTTAGAGCAGACTTTCTGGTTCTGTCACCAAAATGTGTTCATTTATCCTTTCCTTGTTTCTTCTTAATCAGAATTGTTTGAGGAGAAGAGATGCTGGTTTGTTGAATCAGTTGCAAGAGCTTGACAAGCAGATAAGTGATCTGAGACTAGATGTAGAAAAGACATCTGAAGAGCACCTGGAGACAGACAGCCGGCCTAGCTCAGGTGAGTGATTCAGCACAAGGAGAGAATTCTACACTCATGAGTTATACTCTGGTCCCCTGTGGTTAACATTCCCAGACCTCAAATGGCAATGGAGTTTGTTTCCAGGGTAGAGAGAGAGAATTTAAAAAGCAGCCTGCCATTCAGTTTCATGAGAGGGAAATAAAGTCAGACAAGAGAATTTTTAATAATGAGATTGATGTGAGTGGAGTCTCCAGAGTTTCAAAATAAAGGCTATTCAAATTTCTGGAAGAACAGTCCTCCTTTGAAACCTGAGTCAGAATTGGGCTAGAAAATTAGTCACACTTCAAGTTCCTGAGACCACATCAAACGTTTTGTTGTTGTTTTTAACCATTTGGCTCCTTAAGTAGATTTGTTGTTCTCTTAACGTTTTCTTTCTGAAACATTCATGATAAAGTTGAGACTTCGACAGATCTAAGTTTCTTTACTTGCACATCTTTATTTATTTATTTTTTTCGAGTTGGATTCTCACTCTGTTGCCCAGACTGGAGTGCAGTGGCTGCTCCCGGCCACTGCAGCCTCGACCTGCTGGGCTCCGGTGATCCTTCCGCCTCAGCCTTCCAAGTAGGTGGAACTACAGGCGTGCGCTGCCATGCCCGGCTAATTTTTTATTTATTGTAGAGATGAGGTCTCGCCAAGTTGCCCAGGCAGGTCTCGAACCCGCGGGCTCAGGCAATCCACTCACCTCAGCCTCCCAAAGGCGTGGGATTACAGGCTGAGCCACTGAGCCCAGCTTACTTGCACATCTTTAAAGGTGAGATTGAAATGTACTCGTGGTTATGGACTCTGCCTTTTCCTAAGGATTATCTGAAATAAGACCATTAAAATCAGGACACTAAAATCCAATGAACCAAAACTGGCCAAAAAACCCCAAAAGCGAAAATAGCAAATCTCCCTTTCCCAGATGATTACCCCCTTTCCCTTTCAGCATGAATGTGTATTATTCCTTGAAATGATCTTAATTCCAATGGTGTTTTTATTTTTAGGGTTTTATGAGCTGAGTGATGGGGCTTCAGGATCCCTTTCCAATTCCTCTAACTCAGTGTTCAGTGAGTGTTTATCCAGTTGTCATTCCAGCACCTGCTTTTGCAGTCCCTTGGAGGCAACCCTGACTCTCTCAGATGGTTGCCCCAAATCTGCAGGTAAGAACTTTTAGCATTGATAGAAATTTGCAATTAGAAGGGACCAAGGGCCCTTAAAGGTTGTCTAGCTGCACCACCTTTTACTGGTGGTATACAAGGCTCATCAGTTTGCTGCATTTAGTGCTATTCGTACATCTAGAACCCAGTTTCATCTAGGTGAATATCTAGAACTATCTCAGTACTCTCTGGGTGCTGCTTGGCTTCATATTCTGACAGCAGCAGGCCAGTTTATCTTTAGGAATTTTATTCCAATATTGTAGGTCTTGAGCTTTGTTTCTGAGCTTTTGCTGTTAGTTTAACTTGTCTGCATTTTCTTTTAAAAACAATTCTGGAATGGTTTCCTTCTTCCTTTAATCATTTAAAGCTAGGGTCCCATAATGTTAAATATGTACATCAGCCTGAACTCTTTGGCACTTCAGGGAGCAGTGTTCCCTCCATGTTCTCCAAAATGCCCTGCATGATGGCAGCTTTTTTCTTTTAGCAGGTGGGTAGGATGGAATTCCTTAGTCCATGTCATTATTCTCATTTTGGGCTGTCCTTGCAATGACCTCCAGAGAGGATCATGCTATGGTTGTACTAGAAGAGTTTCTGCATTTCCTGTTATGTACTGTATTATCTCCTCTGAATCTTCCCAACAGTCCTACAGAGTGCAAGTGTTGTTAGCTCCATTTTATGTTTAAAAAAATTAGGCCTAGTGAGGCTAGATAAGTTACATAAGATTCTATAGCTAGTGAGTGGCAGAGACAGGATTCAACCTCAGGCCTAACTGCCAGGTTCATGTTTTTCCACCACCCCAAGGGAAGTCAAAATTTGTTGCTTTCAACTTTCTCATTTAACAGAGGAGGAATTTAGGCTTATAAGCCATTTGTCAGGGGCTCCCCCATCTGCTAAATGACAGAGTTGTTGCTGGAACTTGGGACTCTTTCCTTAGTCCTGTTATATTGTGATTCCTTGGAAGAGCAAAGACAAAGCAGAGATCAGAGTTGCTGTAGATGCTGGCACAGGTTACTATATCCCTGGTTTATCTATGTTCTCCTCATGGGTATAAGGTTGAAATTTGAGTCCAGCCAAGGCAAATATAACACCAAGTAGCTGAGGTTGCTAATTGGCTGGTCTCTTTGTATTTATACAGTGTATGTTGTCAGCAGCAATCATTTGGGGTCGTACAAAGCTCTGTTATCTAGAGTGTCTGGCCTCAAGTTCATTGGTAATTGCTCCCCTTCACTCTGCAGATCTGGTTTCAGAGGGAAACTTTATAAACCCATTAAAGACACTTTGGTACAGGTTTTCCTTGAAGACAGATTCCTGTTCTCCCAAATGCCATATCTCACATAATTGAGACAGTTGCACTGGGTCTTGAGGGCTAGGTTATCTGTTTTGTGCAACTCTAAATAGGGAAAAGGGATGAAGGTGAAGTGTATGAAAATGTGGCTTTAAGTAAGGCAAAGATGGGACTTAGGGTGGTGAGACTGGTGAGGGAGGAAAGATGGAGAAGGATATCAGCTAGAGAAGTTTTGTCTTAGAACAAGCTATTGAGGGCCAAGTAGATGGGGACATAGAAAATTCTGTTCGATATAAGCTTCTGTTTACAAATAAATCATGTCATCTTTGGGTCTAGACTATTTTTTCCCTAAGATTGCTATTTATCACTGAAGTTCATGGAGCTTTCCCTTAAATTAAACTATTAACATTAACTAAACAATTAAACTCTGGCACAGAGTAGGTTCTCAATATTTGAATGAAGACAATTATAGTGGTGGACAGATTAGTGATAAATTCAACTTTAATTTTCTCTGATGACTGTAGGTCATTAAAAGGATTTGATATTTATAAGAGTTCATTGTATTTTGACGTCTATATTTTTGAGATGTGGGAAATGTATCCATTAATACTACCACTCAATCTTTTAAAAGCTTATCAAGAATCCCTTTTCTTATAATTTTATTTTATAGTGTCACTATTGAAAATATAAGGTAATTATTATTTAAATTTGATTACTCTGTTGAAAATTTGATTGGTTTCCTTGACCTTTCAGTTGACCATTCTATTTGATCAGCTACATGGGGAATCAAGTTTAAAAAAAATAGGAAATGGGGAGAAAGCCCACTGAAAGTATAGTTTATCCTGAGTACTTTTTTTTTTTGAGTTGGAGTCTCACTCTGTCGCCCAGACTAGAGTGCAGTGGCCGCTCCCGGCCACCGCAGCCTTGACCTGCTGGGCTCCAGCAATCCTTCCGCCTCAGCCTTCCAAGTAGCCAGAATTACAGGCATGTGCTACCACGCCCGGTTGATTTTTTTTTTCGATTTATTGTAGAAATGAGGTCTCGCTGCCCAGGCGGGTCTCGAACCCGCGGACTCAGGCAATCCACTCACCTCAGCCTCCCGAAGGCGCAGGATTACAGGCTGAGCCACCGAGCCCGGCTTATCCTGAGTACTTTAAGGAAAAACCAGGACTAGAACATAGAGGAGAGAGTAGCCTAGAGAAACAATGACTCAAAAAGCAATTAATTTTTTTCTGGTTATAAATTCAGTACAGTTATTGTTAAAAATTTAGAAATAGAAAATAAAAAAGGTAAACGTCACTTGGTTTCTCATCACACTGAGATGCTACTATCAGAAACTTGGTGTGTTTTATCTCAGACTTTTTTCCTTTGTATTTTCACAATCCTAATAAAATTATAATTATATTCTGGTATTATATCATGCTTTTCACTAAACTTTAGCCTTTTCCCTATGTTATTCATAGTTTGAAAGCATTCTTAATGGCAGAATATTTTTCCGTCAGAGTATGTATATTATCAAAACTTTTTGTTAAATATTTTTCCTTCATCCAGTATTATGAAGCGTATGACAAACGGTAGAGTAGTTATTGGAGTATTTTTAAATCTTTTGGCATTGTCTCTCTACCCATGACTTTGTCTCCATAAAAAAGTGGCCAGAGTCAAGTTGGTGCTGACCAATTCATTTCTTGAGAGTGTACCTTTAAATGTTTTTCAGATCTCATAGGATGGTTGGAATATAAAGAAGGCCACTGTGAAGACCAGGCCTCAGGGGCAGTTTGCCGTTCCCCCTCCACACCACAATTTAATTCCCTTGATGTCATTGCAGATGTGAATCCCAAGTACCAGTGTGATCTGGTGTCTAAAAACGGGAATGATGTGTATCGCTACCCCAGTCCACTTCATGCTGTGGCCGTGCAGAGCCCAATGTTTCTCCTTTGCCTGACGGGCAACCCTCTGAGGGAAGAAGAGCGACCTGGAAATCATGCCAATGAAATTTTCAGTGGATCTGAGACAGATGCCACCAAAACAGACAGTTCCTTACCATCTCCAAGCAGTCTGTGGTCTACTTCCCAGCCTTCATCCAGCAAGAAAATGGATGGCTATATTCTGAGTCTGGTCCAGAAAAAAACACACCCTGTAAGGACCAACAAACCAAGAACCAGTGTGAATGCGGACCCCACGAAAGGGCTTCTTAGGAACGGGAGCGTTTGTGTCAGAGGCACTGTCAGTGTCTCACAGGCCAACAGCGTGAACCTTAAGAATTCCAAACAGGTGTGTTTGCCCTCTGGCGGAATCCCCTTGTTGGACAATGGGACGTTCTCTCCACCAAAGCAGTGGTCGAAAGAATCAAAGGCAGAGCAAGCAGAGAGCAAGAGGTTGTCCCCGCCAGAGGGCTGCTCGCCAGGCGCTGCCGCCGAACTTCAAAGCAAGCATCTGCCCAAAAATGCCAAGCCAGCCTCCCAGGATCATGCTCGATGTTCCACTGCTGGGACAGGAGAGTCCCCGAAAGAAAACACTGCGATCTCAACTGCTCCTCCAAAAGAGAGCCCTGGCAGAGGCTCCGCACCCCAGCAAGAGAACAGAGCGGTCCAGAGCCTGAAAAAGCTGCCACAGAAAAGCAGCCTGCAGACTGTTCCTGCAGCCGCTCCCCCCACCCTGCCATCTCCAGCCTTCCCGGTAGAAGAGAGGCCTGCCTTGGATTTCAAAAGCGAGGGCTCTTCTTCCCAAAGCCTAGAGGAGGGGCATCTGGTCAAGGCCCAGTTCATCCCTGGGCAGCAGCCCGTCGTCAGGCCCCACCGGGGCCACCGGAACGCGGGCGTCGCCAAAGGCTCCACGCTGAAGCACCGCGGCGGGGTCCTGGAGAACGGCTTACCCACAGTCAGGGAGAAAACACGGGCGGCCAGCAAGAAGTGTCGCTTCCCCGATGACTCGGATACAAATAAGAAACTCAAGAAAGTCTCCTCCAAGGGGAGGAAGAGCGCAGGCGGGCCAGCCGAGGCAGGACTTCCGGGCAGGCCCCAGGGCGGGGGTCACAGGGCTGGGAGCCGGGCGCATGGCCATGGACGGGAGCCCGTGGTGGCCAAACCTAAGCACAAGCGAACTGATTATCGGCGCTGGAAGTCCTCGGCTGAGATTTCCTACGAGGAGGCCCTGCGGAGGGCCCGCAGGGGACGCCGGGAGAACGCGGGGGTGTTCCCCACGCCCGTGCCGCTGCCCTACGCAAGCCCCTACGCCTACGTGGCCAGCGACTCCGAGTACTCGGCCGAGTGCGAGTCCCTGTTCCACTCCACCGTGGTGGACACCAGCGAGGACGAGCAGAGCAATTACACCACAAACTGCTTTGGGGACAGCGAGTCGAGTGTGAGCGAGGGCGACTTCGTGGCGGAGAGCACGACCACCAGCGACTCTGAAGAAAGCGGAGGCCTAATCTGGTCCCAGTTTGTCCAGACTCTCCCAATCCAGACGGTCACGGCCCCTGACCTTCACAACAACCCTGCAAAGACCTTTGTCAAAATTAAGGCCTCCCATAACCTCAAGAAGAAAATCCTCCGCTTCCGTTCTGGCTCGTTGAAACTGATGACCACGGTTTGAGCCACATCATGGGTGTAGAAAGTGTCTTTTTTTTTTCTCCTCACTCTCAGTGTCGAAATAAAAAAGGCACCATTTGTTGTATGTGTAATACTTTCATGGAATGCTTGTCTTTTAAGATAAAACCGAGGTTAAATTATTATCTCATCATCATATATGGACTCTAGTGCCTTTGATGGAAGGTAAAGAATGTTATTGCTAGTTAGAAGTAAATATTGAGGTTTTGATGGTGGTGATAGTGAATGAGTTTTGTCGTAGCAGCTGTTTTTTCTTTAAAATCTGAGCCTACGGGCAAGGTACAGATTTTAATTGTCAAGTTTTATAGGGATGAGACCTTTGGATACCAAGGTCAAGTGGGTGGAATTTTAGGACATACCTTTGCTCCTTGACTCTACAGGACAGTGTCTCCACCAGGGTTTTTCTGTTGAGGGGCATCACATGCAATTGTGGTAAGTAGGTAGGAGAGGCAGTAGAGGCAGTCTCATTGTTTCTATGGTTTCTTTATGCGGTCTAATTTCTCAGACTTGTATCCCCATTCTTTTTTCTTTTCAGAACTGTTCTGTTTACTGGACTCATAACATGCAGCCCAGACCTTATATCCAGAGATGGCAACCTGGATGGGCGGGCTGGTAATACCTTCAAAGGATTCATGAAAACTTTTGCCACACTTAGTGCCTAGGCCCTGGTTATAGTTAACTCCTTCTAGGGCCATTTATCCGACATTTTGATGCCTTTCCCCCAGCTCCCTAATTTGTAACCAATCCAACCATTCAATCCTTGGAGTATTTGCCTTCGGAATAAAATGTTGATCCTCGGGTACAGAGAAATTCACTCTTAATGAAATAACTCTTGGGCATTATTCCAATCCCAGAGTTGCTCACTAAGCACTGTGCCACCTAAGCGTTAACCCGAACATATTAGTGCAATCCAGTCCAGATTGGACCACTGACCCTATCTGGAAGGGCTGTTTTTTAAAAAAAAAATTTTTTGGTAAACAGTATTGTGTAAAATTGCTTTTTTATACCAATATATGCATGTTTTCTGCATGAGTAGTATTGTTTTGATATTCCTGTTGGTGTTAAATTACTGTATAATATAAACAGTATGTGTTTTTATATATCATTGTGTAAATTTAATATAACACATATGTGGTAATAAACGATTTGTTTTACTGCTGTTAAGTTTGTTATTTGGGTATAAAACCAGATGTTTACACCTATAAATCTTGTGCTGATTATTGGTGTTATTTGTGAGATTTATGTTAGATCTATTCTAGCATTAGACTATTACTTGTAATAATTAAGGTAGGTTTTAGTATTCTTAGCATGAATAAGGAGGCAAATTAGGAAAACCAAAAAACTTCTTTAGAATAGTAAGTCATTTTAAAATTTAAGGTAAATTTTATAGGTAACTTCTAAAGAGAACATTTCTGAGGAAACCCCCCACCTTTTATTATAAACAATTTCACAAACATATGAAAAAGTTGAAAGGATAGTATACAGTAAACACCTGTATATAAGATAGTAAGGATAGTATACAATAAACACCACCTAGATTCAACAATTGCTAACATTTTGCCATGCTTATTTTAACTCCATTTATGTGTGTGTATTAGGTTTAATCCTATACAATATCTTTGTAGGTCAAAGATATTGGCAATCCTCCCTTCTTCCCACACACACTGATACACTATTCTAAAGTATATTTCAGGTATCATATTGTATCTCTAAAAAGCATGTTTTACCTAAGAAGAAAGAAATTCTCTGGGATAACCACATTATCATGATCACACCTAAGAAAAACCAATAGTAATTCGTATTAAATATTTAATCTGTATTCAAATATTCCCAGTTTGTTTCAAGAAATTGTTGATAGCTTTCTGCCCCTGCCTGCCCCCAAAACCAGAATTCAGTCAACATTATGTGTTGCATATAGTTACAGGTCTTTAGTCTTTTTAGTCTAGAATAGTCTTCCCACATTTTTTTTTTTTTTGACATTGGCTTTTAAAAAAAAAATTTGTATGATAAAGATGTGGGGTACAATTCAGGGTTAGGTATACAAACATTGATCATGTAGGTACCTCTGTTAATGAGGTATGCCCCTCCCTAAATCCAACATTTTGATGCCTTTCCCCCAGCTCCCTAATTTGTAGCCAATCCAGCCATTCAATCCTTGGAATATTTTCCTCAACTGCCCCCCCAGCAGTTTCTCATTACTGCCAATCACTTTCTTATAGTATTATAATTGTTCAAGGTCCTCTTATGAGTGAGAACATATGGAACTCTGTTCTTTGTTTCTGTGATAAATCACTGAGTATGATTGACTCCAAATCCATTCAGGTTGCTGTAAAGTCCATATATTTGTCATTCTTTATGACTATAATATTCCATTGTGTATATGTACCACATTTTTTTTAATGACATTGGCTTTTTAAAGAGTCGGGGCAGTTGTGTCGTAGAAAGGCCAACATTCTGAATTTGGTTGTTTCCTTATGTTGTTTAACATCTAGCCTCTATATTTTCCTATAGACTAGACGTGACTGAACTGGGTTGAATGCTCTTGGCAAGAAGATTTCACTAGCGATGTTGTGTACTTTCATTGTTTCACACCAAGAAGCATAATACCAAGTTGCTCCACTATTAGTGAATTTAAGAGTGATCCCTTGGTTAAGTTGGTGTGAGCAAAGATATCTTCATTATAAAAGTACGTCTTTGCAAATGGTTAGTATTTGTGGATGGAATCTTTGGTACTGTGTGAATATATTCTCTCTCGACAAAGTCTACTTAATGGCCTTAGCTTACATTGCTGATCTTTGCCTGAATCAGTGATTGCCACAGGGATGCAAAATGATAGTTTTCTAAATGTCTTTCTTCTTTTATTAGCTGACACTCTTTTTTTTTTTTAAGTTGGAGTCTCACTCTGTCGCCCAGACTGGAGTGCAGTGGCTGCTCCCGGCCACCGCAGCCTCGACCTGCTGGGCTCCGGCGATACCTCCGCCTCAGCCTTCCAAGTAGCTGAAACTACAGGCATGCGCTACCACGCCCAGCTAATTTTTTTGATTTATGTAGAGATGAGGTCTCGCTGCCCAGGCGGGTCTTGAACCTGCGGGCTCAGGCAATCCACTTACCTCAGCCTCCCAAAGGCGCAGGTACCTGACATTCTTAAAAAAGGGCTTTCAGCCAGGCTCGGTGGCTCAGCCTGTAATCCCAGCACTTTGGGAGGCTGAGGTGAGTGGATTGCCTGAGCCCACGGATTCGAGACCCGCCTGGGCAACTTGGTGAGACCTCATCTCTACAATAAAATAAAAAATCGGCCGGGCGTGGTAGCGCATGCCTGTAATTCCCGCTACTCGGAAGGCTGAGGCGGAAGGATCGCCGGAGCCCAGCGGGTCAAGGCTGCGGTGGCCGGGAGCGGCCACTGCACTCCAGTCTGGGCGACAGAGTGAGACTCCAACTCAAAAAAAAAGGGCTTTCCTTGTTTTTGTTTTTTTTTCCCTTTCTCTTTGAATATCACTATGAACTCATCGAGTTTTATTTATTTGATGTCTTACAATCATATAGTCTTTTTTCCTTTTGATTCTAAGCACGATGATTCCAAATTTGGCCGAGAAGGGAATACATTTTATTAAAAGGAAACTATAGAATCAGCTCAGTATCATAATTCAGATATTTATTTCGAAATGTGTCGCGGCCGGGTTCGGTGGCTCAGCCTGTAATCCCAGCGCTTTGGGAGGCTGAGGTGAGTGGATTGCCTGAGCGGCGCGGGCTCGAGACCCGCCTGGGCAACTTGGCGAGACCTCATCTCTACAATAAATCAAAAATTAGCCGGGCGTGGTAGCGCGCGCCTGTAGTTCCGGCTACTTGGAAGGCTGAAGCGGAAGGATCGCCGGAGCCCAGCAGGTCGAGGCTGTGGTGGCCGGGAGCGGCCACTGCCCTCTAGTCTGGGTGACGGAGTGAGACTCCAACTCAAAAAAAAAAAGAAATGTGTAGCATTAAAATTAGCTTTTCAAATGCGAATTTTCTATGCAGGAAAATCCCTTACTATCCATTACTTTTATTCTGTCTTAGAAATCTTCTTTTTTCTTATGCTTTATATATCCCTTATCTTAGTGAGGCTTTTATATTTTGGACATAGCAAATTATTTCTCTGTGGCTTATAAAGTTCACTTCTTTAACAAGACTTGTTTTTCAACTTTTTTTTTTTCCAAGACATCTCATATAACTCATTCTTCAAAATGTACAGTTGTAGTCTTTTAGTATTTATATGTTTTGTTATGCAACTAGCCATTCTGCTTTGACTAGAATTTGATTACTTATCTAATCAAAACCAACTACAAGTGAGAGGATGATCTCACTATCTTTTGTAATGCTATAGTCCGATCTCTTTAGGGCATGGCTATGAAGTTTATTGTGTAAGGCAGCTATGACCTGCAGTCAGTTCCTGAATCGTTTCCAAGTTGTTCTCAGTGAGCATTATTCTTGAAAGGGGACACTTTCTGAAAACCACCTTCGGAATAATTACATTTTAGGTGACAGAAAACCAAACGAAGAGAAGCGTGAAAAACAGGATTTTAAAAGAAACCTGGGTTTGTCCTTCCTGTAATCCATTGCTTAACTTCCCTATAGCTAGCAGTTGTACTATACTTAGAAAATTGAGTTTTGTCTATTATTTGCAATGACAAACTAGGTGCTATTGTTGGTACAAGCAAAAGAGCTCTTTAAAATACTTTCCTTTATTCTAAAACATTACAAATGCTCATTGTCATAAGAAAAATATATCTGGACAATACACATATTTTAAAAACTCTTCTCCCGCAATCCTCCCCAAATCTTACATTTCAAAAAGTTTGAGTTATGTGTTTTCATACTCTGTTAATGTGCACATACAAATATATTACTTTTCTATTTTTTTCTTTAAAACGAAGTCTCAAGCTATATGCATTTCTATTATTTGCATTTATTGGATTATTCTATTACTTGCATTTGTGGACCTGTATGACAGATGCCATTCCCAATTCTTTTTTTAATTTTAATTTTTTATTTTAAATATGTGGGACACAATTCAGGGTTGGGTATACAAATGTTCATTAGGCAGGTGCCCTTGTCGATGAGGTGTGCCTCCCCTGCCCCTGGCAGTTTCCCATTACTGCCAATCCCTTTCTTATAGTATTATAATAATTGTTCAAGTTCCGCTTATGAGTGAGAACATGATACTCAGGTCTTTGTTTCTGTGATAGATCACTCATTATTATTATTATTATTATTTTATTTTTTTGAGTTGGAATCTCACTCTGTTGCCCAGACTGGAGTGCAGTGGCACGCTCCTGGCCACCGCAGCCTCAACCTGCTGGGCTCTGGCGATCCTTCCGCCTCAGCCTTCCAAGTAGCTGGAACTACAGGTGCACACCACCACGCCTGGCTAAGATCATTCATTATTATAGCCTCTAAGTTCATCCAAGTTGCTGCGAAGTTCATAATTTTGCCCTTCTTTATAGCTGCATAATATTCCATCATGTATATGTACCACATTTTTTTCATTCAGTCCTCTTTCAATGAGCTGTACGGTTGGTTCCATGTTTTTGTTATTGTAAATAATGCCGCAATAAACATGTTTGTGCAGGTATCTTTTTCATAGAGTGATTTGTGTTCCTCCAGGTATATTCCTAGTAGGGGGACTGTGGGGTCTTAAGGGAGATCAATTTTTAGATCTTTTAGGGATTACCACATTGTTTTCCACAAAGACTGTACTAGTTTACACTCCCACCTACAGTGTAGAAGTGTTCCCTTTTCGCTGCAACCTCTCCAGCATCTGCTGTTTTTTGACTTATTGATGATGGCCATCCTGACTGGAGTTAGGTGGTATCTTAGTGTGATTTTAATTTGCATTTCTTTGATGACTAGTGAGACTGAGTATTTTTTCATGTATCTGTTGGCTACTCATATGTTTTCTTTTGAGAAGTATCTATTCATATCTTTTGCCCACTTTAAGGGGGCTGTTTGTTTTTTCTTTTTGGCACATTTGAGTTCCTTGTAGCTTCTAGATGTTAGGCCTTTGTCAGATATACAGTTGGCAAATATTTTTTCCCAGTCTGTGGGCTGTCTCCTCCCTCTCTAAATGGTTTCTTTGGCTTTGCAGGAGATTGTCAGCTTGATGAGGTCCCATTTGTCTATCTTATCTTTTATGGCATGGGCACTTGGGATTTTGGTCAGGAATTGGTT